GGGAAAAAGAATGAACACTCAAGTAGGCCACAGTAACTGTCCTAATTGTTTTTGGCTAAAGATGTTGAACTATTCTAGCCCTCAGTTTGCATTCCTCTACATTCTTCCTCAAAATTTTCTAATTCTGATTCACGGGGTAAAATCATCCTAGAACCACACTAATGAATAGAAAGGACTGGTTTGAATGTGTAGGAACTATATGTGTTTTAAACAATTAATCTATTAAAGCCCTTTAACAGTATGTTTAGCCAGCTGAATCTGCATTTTGCATATGTAGAAACATTAGAAATTTTAAATACTTAATTTGCTTAACTATCTCTTCTTAGATATGTCTGAAGTTTAAAGCATTTTTTGAGCATCTACTATGAACTGGGATTTTATAGACATAGTATCATTTGTCCTCATAAGAACCTTATAGGCACTGTAATTATTAGTTACCCAATATTTTTGATAAGAAAAATTAAGATTAAAAAATGTAAAGTAACTTTCCCAAAGCCACACAACCAGTAAACAAAACAAAGACTAATAATTAATATGTTTTGAAAGTCAATGAAGTGTCAGAAATACATTTTAGGCGAATTATAGCCTTCATCTCATTTAATCCTCACAATAGCTGTGCAAGGTGCTGTCTGCATGTTACTGGTGAAGAACCCAGAGCCCGCTAGGCTTAAGGTAACTGACTGTGGTCACATGGCTGGTTAGCACAGCCAAGGTTGGACTCAGCCCACAATGATGTGCTGCCTGATACAAAGACTAATAATTAATATGTTTTGAAAGTCAGTGAAGTGTCAGAAATACATTTTAGGTGCATTATAGCCTTCATCTCATTTAATCCTCACAGTAGCCGTGCAAGGTGCTGTCTGCATTTTACTGGTGAAGAACCCAGAGCCCACTAGGCTTAAGGTAACTGACTGGTCACATGGCTGGTTAGCAGAGCCAAGGCTGGACTCAGCCCACAATGATGTGCTGCCTGACTTTCTTTAATAAACAGAACCTTAATTGTCAGTATTCTTGTCTCTATTCCTCATTAGACTCTAAGCTGTGAGAAAAAAACAAAACAAAACCATAATCCCCAAACCCTCTCATTTACTGTGATTTCTTCAGCACTTACCTTGCCTGCCCATAGTTAGTGACTAAATGTTTTTTATTGATGTTGGTAGAAAAGACTTCTTTAACACAACGGTGTTGTTTCCTGATTTGATTAAGATGCCTTTGCTGTTTACTAGGTATGGACACAACAGAAGCGACTGAGCTGCCAGAGCCTGAAGCTGTGGAATTAGAGCTAGTGGATGAAGAAGAGATAGAGAAGAGATGTAAGAGTTTGTCAGATGGCAACGAAGAAGCAGGAAACCCTGACCCAGCTGATTGTGAGGAAACGTCACCTAAGGAAACTGAGTGTGTCACCAAGTCCTTCTCTTCCCTTCCCCGGAATAAGGAAGAATTGGAGAGAACAATTAAGAATATCCAAGGAGCCATAACAGGGGATATCCTACCCAGGCTCCATAAATGCCTGGCATCTACGGTAATTATTCTGCTTGGGGCCAGCAGGTCTGTGTGAAGCGGGGTGTTTGTGGGGGCCCTGTCAGCCTGAGGCTCTTAACTATTATTGATTGATGTCAGCGTTTGGATTTTCTTTTATCTCAACATTTCAAAGTTCACTTTATTTCTCCTCTAGTCATCTAGTCTCTGCTGCAGCTAGGCAGTAATGCTCCTTCTGCATTATGATTTCACCTGGTAGATAATATGCTTTTCTATCTCTGAAGTAGATAGTAAGATGACTCCCATTTCTAAAACAGGTTATTAAAAATTACTGTCTGTTTCCTTTTTTTCTTTCTTGGCTACTTCTCTGCTGTTCAAAATTATCTTCCCCCTGGTTAACAAGGATAACTTTTAGCAGTGGATTCTCATCATGCCATAGCCCTTCCTACTCAGTATAAAACATGGATTGGCAAACTGTGGCCATAGGCTGAATCTAGCCTGTGGCCTATTTTTGTAGCTAAAGTTCTGTTGGAACACAGTTAAACTTGTCGATTTACATATGGTCTGATTCTGCTTTTGCATTACCACAGCTGAGTTGACTGGTTTCCACAGAGATCAAACCAAAAATACTTATTCTCTAGCCCCCTAAAGAAAAACTTTTGCCAACCCCTGGTGTAGAATATTAACTTGGTCATTTTATATCTTAGTAAATAGCTTTATTGAGACACTATATTTCTTATGAACCAACAATGTCACTCAAACACTTGAAAGTCCCAATGGATACATATTTTATAGGATTTTTGTATATTTCTTAGCAGTCTTAACCCACAGTAGTGTAAACTTGGCTTTATTTTTTTTCTGGTTGCTCCTTTGAAAAACATTGCATTGCTGTTGTTTTTACAATTTCTAAAGGTTTATTCTCAAAGTGCATAATTTAGTTTGTTTTCGAAGGCATTACACTTAGAAATGGACATCAGTTATATCAAAAAAGCTTCTCTACCCACAGTAGTGTAAACTTGGCTTTATTTTTTTCTGGTTGCCCCTTTGAAAAACATTGCATTGCTATTGTTTTTACAATTTCCAAAGGTTTATTCTCAAACTGCATAATTTAGTTTGTTTTCTAAGGCATTACACTTAGAAATGGATATCAGTTATATCAAAAAAGCTTCTCCTTCAAATGAAAGATTGTAGTGTTAGTGGGTCCCTGATCTATTTATCTTCATTTTAGTTTAACCTAAATTTTTCTTACAGACTAAACGGGAAGAAGAACACAAGCTCATAAAGTCCAAGGTTGTGAATGATGAAGAAGTGGTTCGAGTTCCTTTAGCTTTTGCCATGGTTAAACTAATGCAGTCGCTTCCCCCAGAAGTTATGGAAACTAACCTCCCAAGGTATGTTGTGTGACAATTGCAATAGTTCCATGAAAATCACAGATTGCCTCTTTCTTCCTAACTTGAAAGTCTTTTATCAGGAAGAAGAGAAGTACTGTCACAATTTGCTGTGCTTGACAATCCTAAGTGGGAAATCTGCATTATGGGCAATGAAGAAAGAAAAGGATGTTTATATTTTTATTTGCTTCTGGGGTTTTTTGGTGTGTTTTTTGTTCTGTTTTTTTGATTAGTCATTTTTCAATTTCTCATTTTCTAGTATTTTGCTAAAAGTGTGTGCCCTCCTCAAGAACAGAGCACAAGAAATCAGAGACATTGCACGCAGCACTCTTGCAAAAATAATAGAAGATCTGGGTGTGCACTACCTGCAATATATTTTAAAAGAATTACAGACTACCCTTGTCCGTGGCTATCAGGTAAACTGCATTATGTGCTTTATTTTTAAGTTGGGTTGGAGTTTTTGTATTTGCGGTTTGAACACTCTTAAGTCATGCTGCTTTGGGCCTATCTTCAGTATAGTTGATCCCCTTAGATAGCCGTCAAGAATAGTCGAAAGTTCCTAGTCAGCATTTTTTAAAGCTTCAGTATTTGATTTTTGAAAAAATCCTTCTAGGTCAAGCTTATATAACCTGTCATTTTTCTCTTAAATCACTTCATGTCAACTTCTGCATTCTCTGAGTTCTTAAAAAAATTTTGTGGAATGCATATTGAATGTATTGCAACAAATGTGAGCAATAAAGAACATACACATCTATTTAAGAGTTGAAACAGTGTTGGGCACTGAGCATACAAAAGATAAATCAAGTACAGCTCTGTCTTGGAGGATTTAGTCAAAATATAAGGGAGCATCTGCAGTATTTAAATAAGTAGCCCTTTATCCAACTGTTTTTCAACATCCTATATAATAAAAGGGTAATGTGCAAACTGACCCTAACAGCAAAATGACTGGGAACGACTGGTTGCTATGATGCGCACTGACCATCAGGGGGGAGATGCTTAATGCAGGAGCTGCCCCCTGGTGGTCAGTGAGCTCGCACAGGGGGAGCTCCATTCAGACACAAGCCGGGCTGAGGGCTGCCTGCGAGTGCAGCAGCAGTGACGGGAACCTCTTACGCCTGCTCGGCAACACTAAGGATGTCCAACTGGGGCTTAGGCCCGCTTCCCCATGGGAAGCCGCTATGATGCGCACTGACCATCAGGGGGGAGATGCTTAATGCAGGAGCCGCCCACTGGTGGTCAGTGAGCTCCACTCAGCACAAGCTGAGCTGAGGGCTGCTTGCGAGTGCAGCGGCAGTGACGGGAACCTCTTCCGCCTCCTTGGCAGCACTAAGGAGCTTCTTCCGCCTCCTCTGCAGTGCTAAGGATGTCCGACTGGGGTTTAGGCCCGCTCCCCATGGGACATCCATCGAGGACTCCTGGACTACCAGAGGGATGTCTGACTGCCAGTTTAGGCTCAATCCCCCCAGGAATGGGCCTAAGTTGGCAGGTGGACATACCCTGAGGGGTCCCGGACTGAGAGGGCACAGGCCAGGCTGAGGGACCCCCACCCCCCCGAGTGCACAAATTTTCATGCACCTGGCCTCTAGTTATTTATTAAAATAATTAAAATAGGGAGGGGTAGTAAAGGGTAAAGGGGGTCAAATATGTGGTGATGGAAGGAGATTTGATTTTGGGTGGTGATCACACATGCAATATACAGATGACTTATAGAATTGTATATCTGAAATCTGTATGATCTTGTTAACCAATGTCACCTCAATAAACTTAGTTAAAATAGAGGACATCTGGTCATGTAGACACTACCAAAATTGTACTGTTTTAAAATCCAGACTGTGTATGGACAGCCCAGTGTGCTTCCTTGGCCTGTGATCATTATCTGATGTTTACCTTGGAAGCAGTATAAAGAATCAGAAAGCCTGAGAGCAGCGCACGTAGTGATAGGGCTCTGGTGCCAGCCCATCTGCTTTCAAATCTGACTCCACCACTTCCTACACACGTAACCTTGAGTAAGTTACTTGACCTGTCTGTGCCTCAGCTTTCTCTTTAAAAATGCTGATAACACCGCACCTACCTCAAAGAAAGAATGGGTGAAGATTAAATGATTCTCTACATGGGAGGCATTAATATGTGCCTAGCCTGTCGTAGGCTCTTAGGAATGTTAGCTCTGGCTACTCTTGAGGGCAAAAACGTATTTGTGTCCTTCACAGCACGTTATGTATCAGCTTTGATTGCATTCAACATTGGCACACTCTTTAATTCACAGGTTGGTTTGTAAAGTTCAGGGCTCTGTGCCTTTATACACCCCTGGCCTGGCTTAGTCACAATAATCCTAACCATGGTCGTGTGTTTTCCGAACAGCTTTTGTACAAAATGACTGGTCAAAGAATTTTAGGTAGTGATATAAGTATGTGTCATTTGTCAAAGCTTCTCCCAGCAGTAATGACAGATATGTACCTGTGTGCTCTCCTCGCAGCAGTTCTTAGCTCTTACTTTTTTCTAGTGTGGTGTCTTAACCAGTTATACCTTTTTCCACATTTCATTTTAGGTCCATGTCCTGACTTTCACTGTTAACATGTTGCTGCATGGCCTCACCTACAAGCTGCAAGTCGGAGATTTGGACTCTTGTTTAGATATAATGTTCAGGTAAGGGTTTAGAGAAAGAAATTCCAATTTTTTTTAAATAAGCCAAGGACACCAAAAAGTTAATTTACAAAATAAGAGAATAATAG